GATTTCTTTGGAGTAATCGTTTGTGTGATTAATTATTGTGCCAAGATAGTGGTAGTTTTCAACTTGTTCTAAAGCACTATCGTTAATTGTCAGGCTTTCACCATTATTTTGGGTTTTTGATATCCTCATAAATTTGGTTTTCTTGGTGTTTATTGATAATCCATATTCTTCTCCATACTCCACTATCTTGTTCATTAGCTTTTGGAGGTCTTGGAGGTTGTCTGCTATTATGATAGTATCGTCCGCATATCTAATGTTAATTGGTATTCCATTGACCTTGGTTCCTGTTATTTCTCCCTCAAGAGCTTTTTTCATAATTGTATCTTCATATTGTATACAGGGAACATTGGAATGGATCTACTGTAATTTTATCTTCAATTACCTACCCAACTCGAACTGTATTCTGTGCCAATACGTTTTGTAACAGGCAAACTACCAAGATTAATTTATTATTTATTAAAAGAACGATAAAAAAAGTGAAAAACTAACATTATACTTTATTCTACGTATTATATACTAGAAAATATTCGGTGCGAAAAAACGCTTTTCAAAACGTAACAGTTACAATCCAATATCTCATTGTAATGTTTTATTGTAATAATTTGAAGTTTGTCTATCTGTCATTATTTTTGAATTGAAATATTTTCATAAATTGTTATAAAACACAAATTAATGTATGGGTATTTAATTGAGATGATGGAAAATTACAAAATTAATATGAGAATTTTTTAGAATGCATGTTTAAACAAATTTAATGTGACTCATTGATCGAGAATGCTCGATAATGTTTTAGTTTTTAGTATACTGAAAAGTGCCTTGCTTTTATCTGGTTTTATATATTTTCGTTGAACTGGCAACGGTGCCCTAGAAATCAGAATGACACATCTGACAAGATCAACGTACACAACTTAAAAAACACGAGTTTTGATTATAAGAGTTGTACCAGTTTTTTATGACGGGAACGGTACTCATTTTTTATTATTTTAAGGATATCAATAGGCAGTTGATCTGGCCCCGGGCTTTTCCGTTTCTGGTGTTCTTTAGTGCATACTGTATTTCTTCCTTTGTAATTTCTACACTTGTTTCTCTCTCCTCAAAAGACAAGTCTTGTAGGTTTCCTCTTTCGTCGTCGAAGAGCTCTTCCATATACTCTTCCCATCGTTTTAGTTGTTCGTCAGTCGTTATCATAGTATTTCCATTTTCATCTAAAGGAGTTGTGTTGTGGTTTCTTTTTTGCAGCCCTGCCATTTCTTTTAACCTTTTTATGTATGTTGAATAGGTCGAATTTGTTCTGAAGATCCTCTATCTCTTTACATTTTTCCTCATAGTAAGTTTGTTTTGTCTCTCATATCTTTTTCTGATTTCATTGTTAATGATGTTGTGATTGTGACTGTCTTTGTTCTTGGCTTGTCTTCGTTGTTCCATCATGCCGAGTATCTCGTCGGTCAGCCAATTGTCTTTTTTTCGTGTCGGTTCTTTTAATATCTCATTGCATGGAGCGAGGAGGCAGTTTTTTAGTGTTTCCCATTGTTCGTTTATCTCGTAAGTGTTAGTATCTAATTTATCAAAGACTTTTCTATACATAACCTAAAAAATTGTGTGTATTCATCACTCTACTACTTTCTTTTATAGTTGTACTTCATTTATTTTTAATGCTCATATTGCTGAAGCTCTGGTAGAAGAACAGATTATTGAAGATCCCTACCACTTTTACTGCAATTTTTAATAAAACAACAATCGTAGAAAACTATTTATTACAATAAAGTTGTCAAATTTCATAAAAAAAATAACAATACAAGTTAACAGGTAGAAAAATATATAATCAGATCTTAACAGATCTTTCTAATAAAAAACTTAACTGTTTAAACTTTGATAGAAACATCAAATAAAACGTTTATGTTTTTTTAATAAGGCGTTTGGTATTACTTTCATAGAAAGTTCGATCACCAGCTTAAAATTATAAATTTTGATGAAAGTTGAACAGGTTTATGGTTAGACTATTAGATGGCGCTGATGCAACGACACACTGTTTTGTTGTGTTGCACAGAGTGGTTATTTTACATAAAAAGCTGGCCAAAACGAAAATTTCAAAAACTAGCATTTTGGGCCGATCATTGTCACCAAAACAGGTTGTTATATGTGACGTCATCTCGCAATCTTCCCTCCCCAAATAAATTTGTTTAAACAAACTGTTATAAAAAGATTATGCCTAACGAATGCATTACTAAGTAATGCATTAATTAGTGATCAGTGTAGTAGTGTCTGGCGGCTCGGGTGACTGAGACCTCGGAAGTCCTGAAGAAGACACCGAAGTGGATGTCGAAAGCTCAGCGCAATGATAATCTACGCAATTTAACTCTGAAGACTGTGGAGTTTAATATTAATTTCTGTAATAGTACACTTCATCTAATTTAGACATATTCTACAGCCACTAGACATATTTTATTATATACGCGTAGAAATAATATTTAAAGATTTCTATTAATGTTAACTTAAAGAAATACACAATAATATGTTTCATTTAATTTGTATAAAAGCATTATAAAGCGTTTTTATGAAGAACATTTGTTCAGAACACACTGTAACTGTAATCGAACGAAGGTGAAATTTTGGCATAAATTGGTAACACTTAATTAACAGTTGCGGTGTTGACACTTTTTGTACTTTATTATTTTGAATTTTAAAGTGAATACCTCTTGTTTTATATTTTTATCTATTTAATAAAATCTGTTCTTTTTATAACAAAATTAGTGTGTTTTATTTCAAAAATGTCACGTAAGAATTTAAATAGTCGTTGTAAAGAGATGGTAATACTTTTGCAATAATTATGTGACTTATTTGATTTAAAATGGATTCAGGATTTTCTTATACTTTGGCAACTATGTCAACTTCGATCTCTGACGTAGATAATGACGTGCAACGGTATGTAATGAGATAATAATAAATATAGAAGAAATTAGCATAATAATATTATGATTTTTAATTAATAAACTTAAATAGTGATTAAAGAAATAATATATAAGTTATAGACTAGAGAATATTAGAAAAAATATTTATATGAGGGTATTTTTAAGAATTTAGCATAATAATAAGTTTAAAAAGTTTTTTTTATTTTATTTTATTAATAAATATATTTAAGTGAGCCATGAGCATAGGCAACCAAATATACACTGTATTATGACATGAGTGAATTTGAACTGAATAAGTGACAGTTGAAAAATAGGGTTATTTATTAATTTAATATGTTTAATCTGAATAATAATTACGGATGTAAAATAGTGTTATGTAATAATTTAAGATGTTTAGTTTATATATAAGTGTATATTCTGATCTGAAAAGCCTAAATGTCCATAAAATTCTCGATATAAGCGTAAAGAATTCTCTAGAAAACGTCAATATAAAGAAATTAACCTTATTTGCGGAGTAGAATATTTGAGAGCATTCTGATATTGATGAAATAGAACCAATTCGAACATTATTTATTGCTAGAATATTCGGGAACGATGAAAAGTTATAAATACGATGTAATTTGGAGCAAGGATTCATTAAGTTAGTTACAATTAATTAATTAAGATAGTTATAGTGACAGTATGGAGTTAATTCATTAAGACATTAAGACAGTTACAGTGAACAGTATGAGGGTAATAGTGAAACAGTTAGAGTATGAGAATAAAAACAGTTAGTTAGACAGTGCATTCATTAAGCAGTCAGTAGTACAAGCAGATAGTATACAGTGTTCATAGTATTTGAATGTATATTTGAAAGTATATTAAAATCATAATATCTATATGGTGATTGGAGATTATTAAGAAGAAATAAGATTATAAGAAAGAAGCAAAGAAGAAACAATAAATAAAGAAGAATATTTTGTCCATTTATAAATGCTATTAAGAAGAAAAATAATTTAAATTGGTGGAAGCTGATAATTAAAACATTGTGGTATATTAGGAAAAAGCAATTTCACAAAAACAAGGATAACCAAGGCTGATAAGAAGATATTGAGTGGTGATTAAACCTTTTATTTTGGAAAACAGTTTTATTTAGGCATTCAGTGATAGAAAGGTATCAAATTTTGTTAATATAATTTAATTATTGTAAGAATTTCAATTTTAAGATAGGTTGTTCTAAATTTATATTGTCTATATTAGATATATATGTGTGTTTCATAATAGTTATAATAAAGATAATTTAAAAAAGTACTTACAAACTAATTCTTTAAGAACCGCGATAAAAACCCTATACTTATATATGTTATTTTAAAATACTCATTGCTCATATGCAAACAACACATCATAGCAGTAAATTAGATGAAGTATATTAATCTTAGCTTCTATGTTTATATGTACTAACTTTTTTCACAGAAAAATAAAACATGTATAAATAGAAAATCAGATATTGACAAATTAAATAACATTTATTAAAATATCAACAAACAATTGGCATAATATCATAATCTCATTTTCTATCGACAACCCAACAGAAAAATTCATATATGCTTGAGACTAATTTATTTTTCTTAATTAGTTTTCGAAATTATTGATTCGGTTTAATTTTTATGTAAAACACCACTCTGTGCGTCGGTTGAAGTGTTTTGGGGACAAATCTTCCTGAATGATCTGTAGTATCTATGAATTGTAGTGTATTAGATACCTACGCCTGTACTAAGCCAAAGAATAGGCGGTTTTTTATCCCTACCCCTACCCTACCATTCTTAGCCCACTACGACCCTCAGTTTTGCCTTCGCAACCATTACCACTTCACCGTTCCCTGGCAGGTGTGAGTTGCGATCGGTAAATCGTTTTTTTTTTTGGAGCGGCACGCCTTTTAAGGAAATTGTTGGAATCACGAGGAGTTGAGAGCATCGGCGGTTCTTACTTCCACGGTACGACCATACGAAAACTGCCACACCTGCAAAAATAACATATATTCCTAGGTAAAATCCTTATTTTATGACCAAATCTAACATACGCACCTCAAAATTTTTATCAATTTGTCAAACGTCAATGTCCCCCGGCCCATGACATCAAAGATTGAGAAGATATTCTGATCGTGTTATTATTAGGACTAGTCAATTGCGTTTCTTCGAATCTAAAATAGTCTATTAACAAGTTCCTGACGGTGAAATTGGTATCGGGAAAACTCCAAGTAGTACTGCCTATCAGATCGAGATAACTCAATTCTCCTTTAGAAACAAGTGGTAAACTAATATCTATCGTGAGTCCCGTAGAGAATTTACTCCTCGACAATCGCATATTGTAGAAATATTGTTCCAGGAACAGCTGAATCTCAGACTCGGGCATATTTACTTCGATTTTGATCACAGATTCTTGACCCTAAAACGACAGTTTTTGATAAGTTCTCAATAGTATATTAAGGTACAATTAAATCAAAGCGAACACAATCGAACAAACAAAGGAACGAATTCGAAGGTGTTCGCTTGGTCATTTGTTCTCTACTAAGTAGAACCATAGGATAGGAAAAGACACAGAAATTTTGTCAACGATCAAACGCAGAAAATTCAAATATTTGGGTCATCTGATGAGAGGACATAAATACGCATTACTTCAAATTATAATACAAGGAAAAATAGAAGGAAAACTGAATCCAGGCCGTAGAAGAATGTCATGGTTGCGTAATTTGAGAGAGTGGTTTGTCAGTAAATAAACTCTTTAGGTCAGCTATCTTCTTCTTTGGGTGCCGTGTCCGTATTCAGACGTTGGCCGTCATCATGTTTACAATTTCCTGAAACCTTTCTCTGTCGGCTGCTGCGCGAAATAATTCTTCTACTGTGAAACCACACCATTGTCTAATATTCCGCAGCCATGAAAGTTTCTTTCGACCAATCCATCTCTTTCCTTCCACTTTTCCTTGTATTATAAGGCGAAGTAAATGGTATTTGGGTCCTCTAATTATATGGCCGAAGTATTCTGTTTTTCTCCTCTTTATGGTGTTTATGAGCAGACGTTCTGAGTTGATCATTTGAAGAACATCTTCATTAGAAGTGTGCGAAACCCACGATATCTTTAGGATTCATCTATAGCACCACATTTCGAATGCTTCTAACTTGTTTAGCATTGTGGTTTTTAACGTCCATGTCTCACAACTATACAATAGGATCGACCACACATAACATTTCAGGACCTTCTTACGAATATTCATTGACAGGTTTCTGTTGCATAAAACTGGTTTCCAGGTCATAAAAGCCTTACGTGATATTTCGATCCTGGATATTATCTCTTCATCAGAGTCACAATTTACATTTAACCAGCTGCCAAGGTATTTGAAATGATTTACCCTTTCTATCTCTTCTCCATTAAGAGAAAGCAGACCTTGATCTATATGGATCTTTCCAACTGCCATCCACTTTGTCTTTGAAATGTTGATTTTTAGGCCTCTCCGATAACTTGCTTCACTGACTAGATTTAGTAATGTTTGGAGATCTTGTAAACTTTCTGCAAGAATGGCTGTATCGTCAGCGTATCTAATATTGTTGATTATTTTTCCACCTAGTCTTACTCCCTCTTGTCTGTCATCCAAAGCCTCCCTAAAGATTTCTTCAGAGTACAGATTAAAAAGAGTGGGTGACAAAACACAACCCTGCCGTACTCCACGTTTGATGGGTATTTTTTCAGTGGGACTGTCTCCAATTTGGATAGAGGCTACTTGATTGTAATGTAAGTATTTCAGCAGTCTTATATCATAGTGGTCAAGTCCTGCTGCCCGTAGGCAGTCGAAAAGTGTATTGTGTTGGACTCTGTCGAACGCCTTCTCGAAGTCGATGAAACAAACATAAACATTCTTTCGGAATTCACAACTTTTTTGTAATAGACAGGTCAGCTATAAACTAGATCAAGATAGCCTTGATGATTTCCAATCTCCGATATGAGTGGCACAAGAATAAGAAGAAGAAATAGAACCATTTACATTATAACGGTTGATGAACGGATGATGATGAATTTTATAGTTATTGCAGGACTATCAAAAAAAAAGAAAAAAGAGTGTGGTGTTCAAATTTGTTATAAAAGAGAAAAATAGGAGATAATACCTTGTTAATTGATTTAACTCTCTACAGCATACGAAACCTTTTATGGCTTCAAAATTTCAAAGTGTTGTAGTATGCCTAAAACTCAACCCATCTAAAATTCTGACTACATCATAGTTGGTACTCATTATAGTACGCATCTGTATGTTTGGTTGCCTACCAGTCAAGAGAAAGATTGTTATAACCTTGTTCGTTTGTACACGTGTAGTGAATGAACGGAACCTTATGTCATTGATTATAAACCACCCACTAGATAGCTCACCTCGTGGTGACCGGAAGACGTATCAACAACAACTAGATGGCGTTACTCGAAAACCGTATCGAGATTTCTCTCTCTGACTTGCGAGGAGATAGGAGTAGTGTCAGGGCCGAACTTACCCTACAGGTGTATTATCTGTGTCAAGTGTTGTCAAGTTATAGCGAGAGTTTATAAAACAAGGACTCACATTTTAGATAAAATGGCCTCTGTAACGCATAAATGTGTTTATGCAGGATGTTTTGAAAGAAATGATGGAACAAATAATATATCTTTCTTTAAATTTCCCCTGAAAGACGTAAAGCGCACAAAAATGTGTCAAAAAACTGCGGGAATATTACACAAGGATATTAAACATATTAGACAAGAAATTAAACAAGGATAGAGAACTGCTAAAGACTGTTCATCGAAAAATGTCTTATCTGGGACATATAGTAAGGGGAAGTCGATATAAAATATTAAAACTGATCCTTAAAGGCAAAATAAAGTAGTATAATATTTAAAAATGTTTTTAATAAGTGAGTAATTAAGCTGATTAATCTACAGTCATTGTAGTGTTTGGGGTTCTTGGTTTTTGAAGCCTTAGAGCAGCCATTCTGTAGGTATCTCACCAGATTTGTATACAGTATTGGAAGATTCAAAACGGAACATACGAATTATTAATACAATTATTAAGATCCCCTGACCTGCAATTACCCAGTGTAAATTTCAATATAACGTCGCAATGTCTTATAATTAATTAATTTGTTCGACTGGATTGCTACTCCTTGGCGATTTCTAGTAGCGTATTCGACAGGTGTACGTCGACACTGTTGTCTATCGTCTACTGATTTTCTGTGTTTTTGTGCAGATAATAACAATGTTTTATTAATAACAATTTTTTTGTGTTCATTAGATATTATTTGAATTGGTTAGTGTATAGTTTAATATATTTATTATTCCAAATATTGTTGATAATTTAAAATTTAAAAGGATGTATATGATACATCAAAATCTACAGATTTTTGCAGAAGTTATCTATTGATTTGGCAACAGTCCCAAGGAACATCACTGGCCGAGGAAAACAAATACATGCCCTTTGCTTTGCTTCTCATTATAACGCCATAAGCTGAAATAAAAGTAGTGTTTCTAACCATAAACCATGTATACAAAGAAAAAGTACAAATTTTAAAATGGTATTATGGGGGCAATTCGTACGGTCATATTATAAATTTATTTACTTGTGCGTAGGCCAATACCGACACAATCAACTATTAGTCGTATTATTAAGGTGCGCACGTGCGCAGCAGTCGAAAAATATCGACTGGAGAAGGAGTCCAGTCGAACAAATGAATTAATTATAAGACATCGCGACGTTATATTGAAATTTACACTGGGTAATTGCAGGTCAGGGGATCTTAATAATTGTATTAATAATTCGTATGTTCCGTTTTGAATCTTCCAATACTGTATATCGATAAACAGTACAGTTATTGCACTTAAACTGTCTTCGTCTATAAGTTAAATCAGTAAATATGACTTGATAGCAGACTTGATTATATATAGATAATAAATTTGTGTACTTACGGTTATCCTTGGATAAATATCCCTCTTACACCCGCAATCGAAGTATTTCAACCTTTGGGAAATCGATGTCGATCGCTGTGCCATGATAACGATAAAAGCCCGCAGTTTGTCAAGGTCCATCTTTTCGTAAAATACTTCTATACTGAGGGAGAAATGACCAAGAAACGACCAGTCTTTTTGTTTAAATATATTATTCAGCATAGAATTGAAAGAGCTAGGGGCATCTAGAAACAACAATATTTGTACAGTGTATACAAATAGTTGTACCATTTTTCAAAGTAAAACACTTGCACGTCACGATTTCTACAAAGTGACGTCACTTGTATTTAAAATTTCCAGAACATCAACCTTAGAGTTCAAATTTTCCTAACACAGCTAATAATACGAAACCCATACGGAACTGCTCGATCTTTCATAGGCGTCAACATGGTGGAATAATCAGAAAAATGTAATTATCATTATATTGTAAATTTTAGAATTATATTGATTAAATAACCAAAAACATTTGTTATTATTAATAATATAAATTTTATGAAATAACTCTTTAAGTCTAATATTCCACAAAATAATAATTTTAATTAAATATATTAGACAATTGTACGCAACTGATACGGAAATACTTCAAATATTATTGACAGTTCAACGGGTGGCAAAAGTGTATTAAGTGTTGCCGCTTTTTAAAGTAGGAATTCTGTTTATGTTTTGATTTCTCACACAATTTGATCATAATAATAAATTGTATGTATAAATACATATTAAATTTATATTAACAGCTTTAAATACTAATTATTGTTGTGTATTGTGATTGTGATATGCCAAAACAAATATATAGTCTGTAGAAAGCTGATAAGCTTTCATATAAGATAGATTATTTTGAACAAGAAATAATGGCGAGACGTTTTTACTATTAAAGCCCTAAAGAGGTAAGTTTAGAATAGTTTAGAGTAATTTAGAATATATAATTTTGTATTAAAATGTTTTCCTATGTATTTTAATGTGTTGCAGTAGTCTTAAAACTAAGTGTATTTACTGTGAATATAATAGTTTGACAAATAGTTGACATTTTACAAATTCCTCACTTACTAACTGTGTTGGAGAACTATATCTCCAAACCAATAATTCTATTTTGTATCAAATAATTCTATTTTCGCGTCGGTTACCTAAATAAATCCAGTCTACCTAGACCTTGTTTCTGAGAATGTTAATCCCCGCCCACAGCGCCTACTTGACGACAGACCGGCTTTTCAAAATGCATAAACAAAAAAATATTCCAGCGGGGCCAGTGATTTAGCGACTTTCGTAGGGCTAACATCTATATTTCAAAAGTTCGGAGAGGATTCTCCACGTTGCAGTTTACGCAATTGACCGGGAAGCCGTAATATGTGAATAAGTGTTATGGTGTTTTCGCTTTCGTTCGCAAATTGTAATATTCATATTAAGTTCCTACGATAAGTTACACACTCAAATTTTATAAGCTCTATTTCTTGCCCTTTCTTTCTTTTTTCAATTACAGTTTCTTTCTAAACAAGTCTTCTTCTTTCAGTGCCTATTCGTTCCGAATATTGGCAATCATTCTGGCTATAATTATTTTATTGACTATATATGACTATTGATTATCTAAACAAGTAATTGTTTTATTTCACTATATCAATTCAACAGGCCAGATAAAAGCAACTTTGAAAGTCCATTTTAGTTTCTCTACTGAGCTGTCGAAGGCTAGCGGACTAATTGGGCTTACAGCAAGAACAAAGCCGCTGAAAGAGACACTGTTGCATATAAGCCTCTCCATGGAAGGGATGTTGTAAACCGGCACCCTCCAAACTGTTCTAATGTTTTGGCAACGCTGTGAGGTTCTGACGACGTAAATCTTGAATGACGTGCAAGCTTTTTTATATGAAAAATGCTATATGTAAATGTATTATTTTTTTGCTCCATAAAGTTTACCAAATTGAAATTGAAATAAAAGTGAATGCTTACCAAATCTATATACATCCGTCGAAAACATATGTTTGTACAATCCGCATAGCTCTGGTTTCGCATACTTCATTGCACGATTTAGAAATTTGTTAAGCAGAGCGTTTCGATTTAGCAGGTCTATTTCCGGATCATTTTTAACGGGCCATTTTTTCGGAGATTGCATCAACTTCAATCCTAAAACAAAACGTATTTTATTTTTTATATGGGTATTTCCCTGCTATTTGGAAATTTTCTAAGCAAACTGTCCAAAGTAAATTGAAAGAAAAAAGAAAAAAAAACCCGTGACAGGGGACTGTTGACGGATGAGTTAACTAGTAAGTGGGAGGGCACTCTGTTGTCCCGAGACTGAGAAATTGGTCTCGAAGGACCAAGAAAGTGATCATATATTAGCTCAACCAAGAGACATTATTGATTATGGTAATCTGAGACCAAAATCACGCAGGGGAGGACGACCAATAGAAAGAGAGACTAAATATAGATATACTTGGGTTTAGCGATGTACAATGGTTAGGAAATGGAGAGATATCAATAAATAACCACAATATTTATTACACTGAAGGAGACAAAACTGATCATCGATACTAGGTGTGATTCAAATCTCAGAAAGAATAATAATGCAAAAAATTCAAGCACGGAACTGTAATATTAATATGATCTAAGTCTATGATCCCACAGCTGATAAGAACGAAGATGAGATCGAAAAGTTTTATTCAGAATTGCACAATACAATCAGTCTAACGAAATCTAGAGATATTACTTACATTTTGGGAGACTTTAATGCAAAAATTGGAGTAGGTACAGTTGAAAATATAGTTAGACAGTTCGGATTAGTAACTAGAAACGAAAGAGGAGAAAGGCTCATAGAATTTTGCCAAGAAAAGAATATGGTAATTGCCAATACTTGGTTTCAGCTCAAATATCAGATATAAAAAATTATAAACTCAGTCAAAACTTATCCTGGAGCAGATATTAACTCAGACCACAATCCGTTAGTTGCTGACGTGAAAATAAAATTAAAAAGAATTGAAGAATGAATGTAAGAATGCTAAAAAACGAAAGAAATAAAAAAAGACTTGAAAAATAAGGTGATTATTAATATGCAAAAAACACTATCTGACAACAAACAAATTATGGATGCAAATAAAAAGTGGTATAATATAAAAAACACATTACTGAAACCAGCTCAAGAAAGTTTGATACAACATAGGTCAGAGGCTAAAAAACAGTGTACAAGGGATAAGGATTTTCCATGTACTGAACAATTACCTATATATCCACAAAACGAAAGATCCTTCGAGAGGCTAGTGAGATAGAAAAACGACCCGGTTGTCTGAACGATGATTTTTTCCATTCGACACGAAACGCTGCAAACTATCTTAAATTAAGGTAAGTGATATATGTCGTTAAAAATCTTAATGACAGTCCACAACCGGTCACCAAGTGTCTCAATCAACGACATAAAAATATCATGACAGCTAAACAAAAACAGTGACACTATATAGATACAAAAAAAGAATTTTTCTAAAAACCATTTTTCGATATTGCAGTGATGGTGTCCAACTGGCAGTTTCTTTAATCGAAGATACAACTTTGAACTATATTAGTTATACACCGATAGAGATATTGTGAAATTCGTTAAAGTTCAGAGACTTAGATGGGCTGGACACATTGCTAGGATATCAGATCATGAATACATGAAGAGATTAACAATTTCAACACCAGGAGGACGACCAAGAATAAGATGGATTGAGATGTGGACGAAGACTTACAGATTCTAAGGGTTAGAAGATGAAGGGAAGGTGCCAGGAATTCTTTGTAAGCAGGCCAAGAACCACGACGGATTTTCGAGCCACATATGATTATGAGAGAGTTATAGCCCTTTAAATTTGGTGCTCTAACAATTTTTATTTCAAATATCTTCAGAAGTCATAAATTTTATCATCATTTTTATAAAGGGTGTCCAACTTTTTTATTTTTAGGTTTATGAAAAAAAGTTATTCTTCACAAAAAGTTCTGCATGTTTGTTAAAAAATATGAATTGTGTTAGTTAAGTGTTAACAATATCAACAATTCATACTTTTTGGCAAACCGCATTAGACAGAAAAAAATGTAATGTTTAATGAGTATATTTTAGGTTTTAGAATAATAAATAATAAAAATAGAAAAGTTTTCCATATGGGACTTAAATGTATATAATGTGCATAAAAATTTTTGAGATAAACCGCAATGTACAGTAATTATTAAACATAATAATCAAAAACAAACCCCTTTTCGATAGAAAATACTTACCCAGTGAACTTAAGACCGAGAAACACAAGAAAAAAGCATTGCACTTCTCTAAAACACTCGCTAATTGTATATACTTTCCCATGTGACTCATATATCCGTGGTCTTCTACTAATATCTAAAACAATTTACAATTAGAAAGCCTTGCATAAATGGACAATATTGAAGTCTAAATAAGACAAGGCGAGTTCGAAGTTGGATAATTATCGAATTAACGAGAACAGTGCAACTTATTTTTTTCCCCAGATATGGGGAAATTTGTGACAGAGTTGTCATTTATCACAAGATCTGGGGAAATTTTTTATTTCAATATTTAACTTATCTGGAAAAGCCTCTTTACAACGCGCAACACAAAATAGCGAACTTAAAAAAGTTTAAACATAATTGATACAAACCTTTGACGTTAACATACTATCCCAATCCAAAAATGTTTCTATTAGTTTTTTCGCAGTGTCGTGCTCATTCCGTTTATCTGAGAGTATGATCAGATTGAAAGCAATCACTTCTAGAACTCCTTTGAGAATACGGTTTTTATTATAAGACGGTTGAACAATTTCTAAAAAAAAAAAAATAAAAGTTGTAAATTTTTTGTAAAATAAAAATTGATCGAAATGTCGTAATTTCGTAGCCGAATCTGACTGACGTAATGAGACTGTAGGACGTAACGCTTTTTTTTATGTTAATTTAACACGAGTCTCAAGTTTTACAACAACTGACTTCTGTCATGTATTTTGTTGAGACATTCGGGCAATCCTCGATTTCAATGGCTTCATACGTTCGATTTCAATTTTTTTCCTCTACAGACTTTTTTGTACGTGCCAACCATAGTAACCTAAATTTATATCGATAATATAAAAGCAGAACATCTTCACAGCATATACTATGAGGGATCCTAACACTAACGTTTGTGCTTATAACTGAAAATATGAGAACTTTTCAATACATACCAAGAGTCTCTACTAAACTAAAGAGATAATCACCAAGTTAAAGACTATGTCTTTAGTCTTAAAACTCGGAAGTGATTTAGTGCCAATTTGTTTCAAAATTATATTTAATACAGTGTCTGCAGAAATGTAACGATGTGCTGTTCGTTCAACAGTTCAAACGTGGGAGTGTCGATATTCGCGCATCCACTTCTATGACGAGACGACGAAGTGGGATTCGGAGCCTCTATTTAAGGAGAGCGACTGACGGAATTAGATAGTCTGGTAGACGTGTGACGTCACTTGACGACAAATATCACCAGAAATGTTCTGTTTTGCATGGAGTTTTGTCAGATTTAGTATCGTTTTATCGTTTATCTAGTACGTTGACAAATAAATGTGTGCATTTTTGATAAAATATATTTCAGAATATTAAATTAAAGACAAACTTTTATCACCAATTGACGTCATGCGCATCGACGTACAAAATTCGATTGCGAAGTGGTTTTATCTTGGAAGTCATAGTATCATGGTCTGGTAGCTAGCGCTCTAGGTTCCCTGACTCGCTGGTGTAGTGAACCTGCAAGCCAACCCGTACAGAGAGATTTCCGTATTGAGGATCGTACTCTGTCCTTAACACTTAGACTGCCGCCATAGTGAAAAAAAGAGGGTTCTTCCAGCCGGACATATTTCTATCCCATATAAATAACATACAAGCGAGAATCAAAAGCTGATTCTCGTGGCAACAGAATCAAATTGGCCGTGCATCACGGCATGCTTCTCATGGCAGTTAAAGTGTTAACTAAGCAGAACCCATCGGTATCGTGAATTGAACGTTACCGTGTACTTCATTTGGACTTCGCGTATTTTATTTTTTTTGTTAGTAATAATAATTTTTTTTCTTTTACAGACGTTCGCCGGGAGTTCACTCTTCGCGGGATCCAGACGGGGACATAGAATTCATTTTATTTTTATTTATTGTATGTACGTTAAATTAATAGATTTATTTTTATTTTCATCCTGTGTTTTACTGAGTCTGTCGTCTCGAAAGAGCTACCCAACACAAACTGGCGCCCGAGCAAAATTGAGGAAGTGCTAAAAGCTACCGAAAATTAATAACATGCCGACAGATAAAGACACAGACTCAGTAACAGGTACGTCGTGGATAAACCGATTTTGCAAAGAGGAATTACAGAGCGAGGCCGAAAAATGCGGCTTAGATCCCAAGGGAACCGTCGACGAATTGAGAGTACGACTCAGAACCTATTTTAAAAATCGCGAGGAAGCGACAGGAACAATCCCAAAAGAAAAAACTTCCAAGGGAACAGAATCCGACACACCGACCCAGGAAATTTCGGGCATCCGAAGACAATTACAGGAATTAACAATAACGAAACAAATGGGGCAATCAGCATTGCTAAATCAAGTACGAAAATGGAACACACACCTCGACAAGAAACATTCGGATGCAATAGAATTTTTAGAGAGGATAAACGAATAAGCTTGGCCTACGAGATCGATAAACAAGATCTACTAAGAGCATTACCAGAATTATTAGGAGATTATACATTTTATTTATATAAAATAATTTCGAGTATTCGAAGTATTCCGTCCCACTTCTTTTAACACGCGCTGTATATACATATTATATTCATTCAATATTAAATTCATATAAATCCAATATTATTACTGAACAAAAAATACAGGAAATTAAATATTTTTACTTTCTAAGCGATCGGAATTAAATATTAATGCCCCACTGTTTGAGGCCCACTGATCATATCTTAAATAAATATCGGCCGTCACAGAATAAAAGGAGTATAGAACCAATTGCCATTAGTTTATGTTTTTTACTTACTTATTTGCTCTATCATCTTCAAAAAACTCGAGTAGTCCCTTTCGAATTCCATAATACACTGCATTAAAAAAACTTCTATCGTCGACAGAATTGCGTCCTGTTTCAAATATTCCAAGAACTCTTCTGCATTCAAGAACTTTATGCACTTATAAAGATTTATGTGGTCCAACGGGCGCTGCGACAAAAAAAATCGTTAAATCGATAGATGTTACAAATCTAGATGTAAAACTTTCGTTACAAAACAACTTACCTGTGCCACGGAGGCAGGTAGCAAATCGTGCAGTGACTTCGAAGAAGTTAAGGAGAGCGGATTTTTAAACTGGAATTCTCCGACGATATGACTTATTGGAAATACGCATATGGTTTCCGCTTGTATTTGATCGATAAATGATTTTTGTCTTGATTCAGTGCTATAAGTTGATGATTTTGCCTTATATATTGCATTAGGTCTGGAATTAGAATAATATAAATATGTTTGGTTTGTGTTACATCATAAGTACATTCATTTTTTGTCGATATTTCAATATTTTACTCGTTACCAAAATCCGGTCCGAAGGACCAAAAAAAATCTAAGAAAATTTGGTTTAAAAAGAGCAAAGACTAAAAGTAATTAAAAATTTACTCAAACTACTCTATACAACGTTAAGTACTTACCGAGAAGTGGCAATAGATGTAGATGGAGCATAACGATCTATTATCTCAACTTGATTATCTGTATCAATCATTTCATTCGATCTAGAGCGCTTAGTTGGGCGCTTGGTATACGGCATGTAACTTTCATTGACGCTTTCGTCTGATCTAGAACGTATAAGATTACGTGAATTGTCACTTTCGATTCCATTACACGCATTATCTCCAGAGTTAACAGATATCTTGATGTTATTGTCCTTTATGCATTTTTCTGGGTTTAGTGACCTTTTTATGATAGTTATCAATTGAGTAGATACTTTAGATAGATCCGTCAACTTGTTTTCAATAATTTCCTCGTATATGTTACGCCATATTATAAGATCGAGGGGTAATTCCGACCCAAAACGCATCAATAATCTAGTGGCAGATTCTGGGGAGATGTAATTGCTTATGTGGATCAGTTTTCTAAGCATACGCCAACTTTGAGACACATTAGGTTGTGCCGAAAGTGCATCAATGAGGGCCTCAACTGAAAAAAATACAATGTTACTTTCTATTGCGATTATTAGTGCCTCTAAATGCTATTCAAATAGGACCTACTATGTCCTAAACATGTTTTTATTAATTGGGGACATAAGCGAAACATTCGAACTGAGGTACTTTCAGGTACTAACTCAATGGCTTTCTGCGGTATGTTCGGATACGTCTAACACTTGTAGTTTTTATAAACTGATAGTACCCAGAAGACATAAAGCACTTTTATGTCTTCTGGGTACTTCCCAAATCACTAATCCGCCTTAAGTTACCTCCAACATCAGTCATACGATCCTTATTTATATCGCGTACGTGTTTAGGTACTTAACAAACCTGCTGCGCAATGCACATATATGCTGTAGGTACTTTTAAGATAATCTTATGTCTCAAGACACTATTGAGAAACTCAGAAGTGTGTGTATCTAGATTTTATGTCGCATGTTAATTTTAAAACCATCTTTATGTCTTGAGGTACTTCGCATCACATATCCGACTTAAAGTAATATCAACAATACTCACACATTTCTTAAGTACCTCTTTTAAATACCATATTATTTATAAGTTTCTAGATATTTTTAAAATCGCTTATATATTGCTAGGTATTATTAACATTTCTCCTATATATCAAAGTACTTCTAATATAAATCTCTAGGTACTTCCAATGTGCGGATTCAAGGAAGAAGATCTGTTGGTGGAAGGCAGAACTCATGGTTAAAGAATTTACGTGATTGGTATCAATGCAGATCGATTGATTTGTTTAGAGCAGCAAGTTCTGAAATAAAAATAGCCATTATGATTGCCAAATCCGTAGGGAGACAGCACTCTAAGAAGAAGAACGTACTTCCAAAATCACTCAAACATCTCTCCCGCATGCCTTAAGTACTGTGTAAATCAGTTATAAATCACTCTTCTGTGAATTGGTACCTTTTTAGTTATCATACGTAGCTAGTACTTTTAATAATGTTGTCTCTAGGTACTACTTACATCTATAGATACTTCAAAAAATCACTCATATATATTTTTTAAGTGTTTAGATGAGAGGGTAGGCAGAATAACAAAAAGGCATCCGTTTGCAGGACTTCCTTCTAGGGGTAAATGGACTCTATCCTGACTCACAATACACGCCAGCTATCCCTAGGAATGTGTCGACCTGGTACGGTTTTTAGAAAATTTCCGCCCTCCGAAAAAAAGGTACTTCTTAAATCAGTTATATATCTTTTATAAATGGTGATAAAATATTGGTAAATGACTCTAATTAATTAAAAAATAAAAAAGTCAAACTCTTTTCAAGATATTCATCATTCGTGGACCTCTAGAGTCGGACATTTACTTGCTTCATCACTTCTCAGCCTTCGGGCATTTTCCACATCAGTTGCAAATTTCTAGAGACTTTCAAAAACGCAGTACCTCTTTTACATACCTCGCCAATCACTCTAGGTACTTACAGGCACTTCTCAAATCATTTATAAATTTCTGGATAATTTTTAAATTATCTATACATATTTAAGCACTTCTCGAACTATGAATTCATCAATAAGTACGTTCCAAATCAGTCATACGAATCTTACGTGACGCGCAAATCAAAGAGACGTCTCTAAATACTCTCACAATCACTCAGATTCCTGTAGATACTTTCCAAATAATTTATACATCTCTGGGTACTTACAAAACTAGTTATATGTTTCCAGGTACTTATAAAATCGTATATGTGCTGCATAAGTTACTTGTACATCTCTACAGGCTTAACAAACCACGAATACATCACAAAGTACTTCCAAAATCATTCGAACGTAACTGAGTACTTTCCAAATCTTCTATACAGTTCTAGAATCTACCTTAGCCAAGAATATGTCACTAGGTACTTCCAAAAGTAGCAATAATACTTGCGTACCGCGCTAATCTTTATAGACTTCTAGATACTGTCCAAGAAATTCATTGGTAAATCTTTAGATCATTTCTGAATCAGCTGAATATATCTAGGTCCTTGTCAAACCACGAATATATCACCAGGTACTACCACAATCATTTGAAAGTAGCTGAGTACTTTTCAAATCTTCTATACAATTATAGGATCTACCTAAAGCAAGAATATGTCACTAGGTACTTCCAAAAGTAGCAATACTGCTTACGTACCGCGCTAATCTTTATAGACTTCTAGATACTGTCCAAGAAATTCATTGGTAAATCTTTAGATCATTTCTGAATCAGCTGAATATATCTAGGTCCTTGTCAAACCACGAATATATCACCAGGTACTACCAAAATCATTCGAACGTAACTAAGTACTTTCCAAATCTTTTATACAATTCTAGGATCTATCTAAACCAAGAGTATGTCACTAGGTACTTCCAAAAGTAGCAATACTGCTTGTGTACCGCGCTAATCTTTATAGACTTCTAGATACTGTCCAAGAGATTCATTGGTAAGTCTTTAGGTCATTTCTGAATCAGCTGAATATGTCTAGGTACTTGTTCAACCACGAATACATCACCAGGTACTACCAAAATCATTTGAACGTACCTGAGTACTTTCCGAATCAGCTATACAATTCTACGTACTTCATAAACCACGAATATGTCACTAGGTACTTCCAAAATTAGCAATACGTGCTTACGTATCACGCCAATTTTTATTGACGTAATTTCTAAATCGGGTATACAAGTTTAGGTACTTTCTAAATCACGAATATGTCCCTACGTTCTTTATAAATATGTCCAAAAGTTCTTTAACCTTCTCTACAAAAATATACAATTATATAAAAGAATTACAAACTTACCTAAAACCGGGTACTGCTTGAAATCCACTCCACGTGCGATCTTATCGAAAGTTTCTGCAGTAATAGTAAAATTTTGGAGAGCTGCGATGACATGTCTTATTGCTTTTGGAAAGTCAAGTTTATACTGCATTGTAATAATATCGAAAATACAATTGATCAACTGCTCCTCTAGTTTTAAGGCAACAAAAAGGTCTATAAAACATTTATAAGCACCTTCAAACAACAAGGCTAAAAATAAAAAAGTATTACATCGAAAATCATTCAATTCTCTCTGGAGAAAACTTAAACCAACGTGGCAACATGGTGTTCCAGCCAACTACGCGAAGTCAACTTCAACAAGTGGCTTTCTCTGCTAGCGACCATCAGACAAACCACATCGAAGAAATATACAGTCCATTATTTAATGTTTTCAAATGTTAATTTAATTGTAATTAAGTTCAATAAAAACAGTGTAACATATTCAAGTCATTTCACCACTCTCTAAGTATCTTGCATCACTCCTATGTCTTCATGTACTTCCCAAACCCCTAATACGCTTTTAATTACGTCCAAAATAAGTTATACCATCTTGAATTACCTTGCAAAATGGTTGGTCCAAAATAAGTCGTACTCTTCTAGGTACTTTCCAAAAATGCTACTACTAAAAATTTCGAAAACAACTACATAATACTTACGGTATTTTTTACTAAATTCGTAAGCTTCGACCACCTTTTCCGGTTCGAGTTTCTGGCATTTCGTAATGAATAACTTGCATAATAAACGATGAGACTTGTTACAATTTTTTTTTCTACAGAGACCATTGAAGAAAATGTCGAAACATAAACCGTAGAAAACCTTTGGGACCTCGCTAAAGGTAAAATTCGAGCCTGCAAAAATATTAATATATCCAAAAAAATCCATTTAAAGATTGTAATAGCAAAAATTGTAACAGGGAGTCATAAAAATACTTACTAAGCACTTTTGTTGATTCTGGCATCTTTTCCTGTCGCAATTCCAAATTGCGAGCACCATTTAGCAGGTTTTCCTGTCGCAATTCCAAATTGCGGGAACTATTTGGCAGGTTTTCCTGTCGCAAATTGCGAGAAGTGTTTGTTGGCAGGTTTTCCTGTCGCATTTCCATATTGCGAGAACTATTTGGCAGGTTTTCCTGCCGCAAATTGCGAGAACTGTTTGGCAAATTTTCCTGTCGCAACTTCAAATTGCGGGAATTGTTTGGCAGGTTTTCCTGTCGCGATTCCAAATTGCGAGAACTGTTTGGCAGGTTCTCCTGTCGCAATTCCAAATTTCGAGAACGTTTTAGAAGGTTTTCTTCTCGGTTTTCGTAACTGTAAGGATCATTTACCACATTATATCGGGCCGGTTCAAAATTAAGAGTGTCGCGTGGCTTTTCGAAAAGATCAGAATTTATTTGAAGTGATGCAGTGGGGCGTTTTTCTCTTTCCAAGAAGGTAGTACGCGAAAAATGAGATGGAGGCGCATCACCATCTTCGTCGTCAGAGAATCCAGATAATGTTGACCTAATAAAAAAAGTACGGAATCTATAATTTTTTATAGTATTGAGGTTTATACCCAATTATAGAGGGTGTAATAAAAATGTAGGTAATAAATTAAACCACATACTCTGCTGGAAAAATAGGTCCATTTGATCTAAGTTACTTTACAGGGTTGACTATGGAAGTACCTTGTAGCGTTTTATATTTAATATCTATATAATAATATAAATTCTGTTTTAAATTTTATAGTACGCCCATGAGTTTATCTGCGTATTGTCTCTTATAAAGGAATTTTAAAACGATGGCATTTTAAGTTGAAATTCTTAATATCGGAGAGAGAAAGGTTGCCGACAAGAATGTAGAGCGTTATGCCCCTGATGATGCTGTAGAAAGCGAAAGTACTTGGGCAAGATTTTATTATTAAATCTCTGCTCGATATTTGCCTTAATTTTTAAGTTCTTATAAGTTCGATTAAAAAGGGCTCTAATGCTCTTATTTCTTGGCCACCTAGAAGTCCAGACTTTAACCCTAATGACTTTTGCAACAACTGAGAAATACAATCATAAAGATCCACATCGATGTCGTTACAAGCGTCTGTTTTCCTTTTTTTAAAGGATGTCAAATATATATTCAAGTAAATATAAGCCATAATGGAAAAATATTAAGATACACTACACGTTGGATATTTTTGTAACTTTACATGTGGTTTAATATATATCCTACGCTTTTTCATCCTGTGTAAATGATGAAAGACACATGCCACAACAAAAATGGTTTAGAACAATATTAAGAAACAGACAATACAATACATAACTTATTCCAATCTTATCCTAACCTAATATAACCTATCCTAGAAAAAATTTAGCCTATATGTTAAAAAAACATTAAAATTAAAACATTCTACTTACGCATACAATGATATAGTATCATCTTCTGGTTTAGGTGGAGTAACAATTATTTCTTTTTGCTTTTGTGGCACTGGTTTAGGTGGTAGTGGGCTTTTAAATACAAAATTACTACAAATTGAAAAAAAAATTAGTATATTATTCGAAAAAATCCACCTTATACATACTCTGTCACTTTCTGATGAAACTGATCGGAACTTTTAACTTCAAAAACGTCATCATCTTCAGCGACATCTGGAACATACCCTATATCCTTTAAAAACAATCGGATAGGCCTGAAATGGTTACAGGCAGTCCACTCTGTTACTGGTCTGTCGTCAAAGTCAAAAGCCCACGGTGTTGTTAATATCTGTTCCAAACAATTAGAATCATTAGAATCATCGTTTTCTTGATCAGAAAATGTTTCCTGTTGAGTATTTATATCGCCGTCATCTTCAAATTCACTATCAAGCATTTCTTCTTCGAACATTTCCGCATCTTCTTGTTGTCTTTCTGCCGGCACATCTTCATAATCGGATTCTTCTTTGACGCTTTCTTCATCCGAAAAATCTGCTTCTAGACTCGAACATTTCGAATCATTTTCGAATCAACTTCGTAATCGAGTATTTCATTATCTGGTAATACATCTGGTTTATTATTTGATCTAGCTGTTGAAATTGCTTGTTCTGTGTGTAACCTATCTCCTGCAGCATGACTGTTATGCTCCCGTTTTTCTGGAAAAGATAAAAGGGATTAAATGTTAGGTGCAGGACAGTTGCTACTGTTAGTTAAGAATCTACTAAGAAAAACGCAAATTAAACGCCTTCACAAATGTCAATGTTACTTCAAACTAACAATTAGTTAGTTTGCATGCTTATATGAATTGGAGTATGAAGCAAAGATATTCATAAATATCCATCAGTGTAATTGACACTGAAACTCTCTCTATTTCTCTCTCTCCCTCTGTCACTATATGTCAAAATCTGTCACTATCTATCACTATGTCAACATTTTTCACTATCTGTCTCTCTCTATCTGTGTATATGTGCGATTATAATCCTTGGACCTTGAGGGAGGTCAGAAGGAGAAGATAAAATCAACAGATCCTAGAATCAGAGGACAAGAAGCCATTTCAAAAGACAAAGGATGCTTTACTGTCCACAAAGGCACTCACAATGTACAAGACATAAAAAATATGTACCCTCGAGCTATATATTAGATAAAGACTGAATTTAAGATGCAATATCAAAATTTTACAACTATATAGTCACTTATCAAGCTCTAATGACAAAGATTTTCTATGATAATCTAATAGTAGGTCTTGGAAAGCATCCAACTCATCATACTATGCTAGTTTAAAAGCAAAAATTTATAAAAACAAAATGAGTTTGAAGCTTCAATGGTAGACATGGGTATGGAAAAACAAATAAACGAAAAATTAGGTTACTGAATTATCTTGAACATTGTCTCTATGCAGTAAATATAACTAATGTCCCTAACAGCACTGTCAAAAATGAGATGCCTAAACTTCAATATAACAGATAAAAAAGAATATTAAATTATTAAATAAATTTACAATGTGCGATAACATCCAGATAATAGATTGTGTAAAGATAGCAGTGAATCCAAAAAACAACAAAAATGCTGTTAAAACACCAAAAAAATGAACCTACCCTAAAAATATTATGCTATTTCAAAAACAAGTTGAAAAGAACATAAAAGAAGTGCAATATGAATGTATAAAACATGGCAAAAAGATATTTTCTAAAAAACTTTTTAAGAATCATGTTTTACATTATGTTGGAAAAGTCTATATGTAATCTCTTAAAAAAAGTAACCAGATATTTTGTGGCAAATTTTTAACCTCTAAAAACATTTAAAGGAGTCATTATACAAAAATACAAAAGTAAATTACCAACATACACTAAATAAATAAAAAGATCTGTATAACTGTCACAAAAAATAAATAGTGTTTCATTGTAGATGTTTTAATAATATAGAAGTCAAAAAAAAATACATAAAATTTACTTACGAGTTCCATTTACACCATTGCAAACAGGAATCAGTTGTTCCGATTCATCACAATCTTCATATTCCATAAGGACAGGTGCATCACTTGAAGGAGTTACATAATCAAAATATTGGTTCATGCTGCCTTCTTCACATTTATCAAGCTCCATAGAATACGGAATCATGCCCCTAAAAACAATACATAAGTAAAAGATTGTAAAAAATAGATCAATTTATTAATTTCAAAAATACTTTCTTGATAAGTACACCATTGGGGATGTCGAGTTCAGCTACAGGGGAGAATCTGAAAAGAAAAATAAAAAGATGTCACTCTGGGAGTTTTTCAGATTGTTCAACAATAATCAGGTATCAAGAAGAACAACTGAAAAACAGGTATTGTAACAGGATTTACCAATTTACCAAGTTAGTCAAAGGGAAATAAAAAATCGTACAGAAATATAAGGATAAAAGATTAAATCTTTTGGCAAAAGCTGCTATAACTTTGTTGAATTAAATGCAGACTGCAGTCCATGAGCTTGTTTTTTGCGGACCGTTGTTAAATTCAAAGTATAGTTATAAAATTATAGTGTAAAATTATAATTAAATATCAATATATAAATATCTTTACATTTTTAAAATGCACAGGCACATGTTTCAACTATGTAACCGGAATGATCCCTGAGGGGTTTTGTAGGTTAGGTTTTTGAAACGGACCGTCAAGGAATATAATTGGTTACCCCTGGCCTAGGAGAAAAAATTCGTTAAACTTCCTGTGCTTGATTCAGTATCAACACAGTGTTATGACTCATTTCAACATCCCTGTTTTATCAGACAATTGGGCTGATACAAATTCAAACTCTGAAAGTCCAATAAATGCCTCCTAAAACTTGAGCACTGCAGTTGGTTTTAAAATAGATAGATTGATAAAAACATCTGTTGCTTTCTCTACCACAACAAATGCTGATAATTTCTGATAGGAATATTTTCTAGAAATATACACTGCCAATTATTGAGAGTAAGTCTCAATGGGTCAACATACTTAGGAACCTTCTTAATATCATAAGAGACATACTCATATATTGTATTTACTATATTCATTTTCAATATTTTTGCAGCATTTTACATTCTTATTTCAAAAAAGTTGTATATATGTTTGTAAATTTATTAAAGTATTATATAGGTAAGCATTTATCATGAAAAACTCAATGAGCTTTTTTAATCAATGAGCACCATAACTAAATAATACCAATAAAACAAATAAAAGTATAGTTTAACGCCCCAAAAAGTGAACAAAATTTTACTTGCAACTTAATTATTATATTATTTTAAATATAAAATAACTTCTTTTCATACGTTTTCGATTGTTGGATATCATGTTGGCTACCATATTCGCTATGGTGACTTTATTGACAGCAACTCTAAACAATGAGATAGTTGATTTTCCATACCCTTGCCTTAGATTTTTCAGCCATGATGTTCTTCGTCTACCAGGACCACGATTACCTTGGATCTTTCCCTGAATGATCAGATGTAAAAGATCATATTTTTCAGGGTGTCTCATAATGTGACCGAAGTATTCCAGCTTGCGTTTCTTTATTACATTACTACATTACAAAATTTTTGTTTTAAATTTATTTGTGACTAATACTGATAATAATAATGAACATGATAACATGGAGTGCCTAATTACACCCTTTTGTTCTTTTAAATTTGCAAAGAAGTGAAAGAACTCTTAACATCAGCCAGTACTTTTTTATATCATCTGAAAGACAGTCTAACACATCACTTACCTTTCTGAATTGTCATATTCAACTTCTGTGCGCTTGCATAACCTTTTACTAGGACGTAAGTAGTTATTATTTCTTTTAGATTCATTATCTGATTGTAAACTCCTACCTTCTGTAGTTTGACCTAAAATAATTCAACCAATAATGAGATAGTCAATGAGCTACTGAAGACTATCAAAGAAAATGCTATATAGAAACGGAAATAACACAAATAGACAATGTGTATGTTAGTGAAGACAGTATAAATCACAATATAAATTAACAACAGCAACTAACAATGGAAAAGGAATAAGAATAAAGTGGATACATCAATTAGAACTTAATCATTCATACTTATAGATAGAATACAATGAAATATCAGCTCTGGGTATTAAAACAGCAGAAAATATCTAAAAAAGAAAAATATCTAATAAAGAAATTAGTTAATGCAGTTAAAAAGTGAAACATAAATACAAAAAAACTGCCAAGTATAATTTGAAAACAAATGAGATAAGTATATACTTAAAGTAGCAAAAAATAGATCACACATGTAGATGACACAAATATTCACAATTGCAATGGCTCCAAAAAAAGTAACATTAGCTGTTGTAGAAGAATATAAATATATATACAATTAACTAATAGGACAAAACAATACTTATACACAAAAAGTATTTAAAGAAGTATGACAGCTTATTTAATGAATGGACTTCATCCATGAAAATCTAAAATAAATAAAATAGAATAAATATATAAAATAATATATTACAAATAATAGTTAATTATCTGCTGCAGCTAAAATTTCTATGAAGAAAATAAATCAGGAAACAAAAGCATAAGAGTTTGATTAAAAATTAACTAATTGTTAACACTAATGAAAATAAATGTGCCAAGAGCATCTACCCTAGAATAACATAAGATACCACCAAAGAATATAGACGCTTATAAGCGTCTATATTCTTTGATACCACACTAAAAGATCTATTTTGTATTACTTAATAATTACTGACTTTATATTTGCACATTTTTAAAATTTCTACATCAATATGGGTTATATACAAAATATACCTGGGCTGGAATTCTTGCCGGACCCAATAATAGACCTTGTAATTGTAAAATTAAATGCACTGTTATTTGGAAGTTTTCTGATCCCAGTGATACTATTCTTTTCCATAGTTTTACAAGCTTGTGGTTTTAAATTTAAAGGAGAGTATCTAAAAGAAGTTGATTTAACCAACTCTTAAATCGGTTAAAATCAAGTAAAGCCGGATTTAAAAAGGTAGAAATATAACTCTACAATTAGTACCTAAATTAAAAAAAAACAACCGCTTTTCTAAAAACACAGTTGAAAGCAAAATGGACGTTATTATTAAAGTTAAAGACATGGAAAACTTTTTAACAAACGGTGCAAATGTTAAAGATATTGGCATGAAGTTAGCAATAATCACGTAAATAAAGTATTCTTCTATCATTCGTTTGTTTGGCCTTAGCTACCAGGGCTATCCATCCAAAATCTGTGAATTTATCATCTGTGTATTTATACTGATTGTTCAAGAGTCGTACCTTCTGGACTAAAGCGCATAGCTCCTGAACGTGCAACAATAGTTAAAGGAAAAAACAAATTAAAAATTAATTGATTTTAAAGGTTCAAAAGAGGAAAAAGATGGTTGAGTTTACCGAAAGCAAAAGGCATGCCAACACTGCTATAACCGAATTTTATACCGAAATTTGTTGTTCCATGTTTGTCATTTGCGGCATAGAGAAATAAAATTATTTGTTATTTCTTTATGATTTAAATAAACTCAACCGAGAAACTTTACAGCATAAACCACAGAATAATAAACAATCAGAATGTCCACTCTCAGATGCCGCCTTAGAAGTTTTTCAGCACGCGCGCCATGTTTTAGAAGGAAACACATAACACAGACAATATGATTTGTGAGGTTATGTAATTGTTTATATTTATGTTTAATTATATTATATTTATGTTATTATATTTAACAATGTTAATATAATTGCATAGTATGTCTATGGTTGCAGTTAGTCGATTAAACCGGATTAATTTTTCTACATAAACAACACTGGTTCACTCTAAAACATGGCGGAACGTCTGCGCGAAGGAGATGCTCGTACTTAATTTTCCATGAAGAGTGGGCATTCTGATTGTTTATTATTCTGTGGCATAAACACAGAATATTCTGTGACCTAAGGATCAGATGTTTCTGTTTGTGTCTGTACCCTCTGACCCTATGATGAACAAGAACAAATGAAAAGAAGAGTGATTCCGCTCATAGTGTGTGGTATAATTTCCAGGGGTTTATATTATGTATATAAATACAAGCTATTTATCTGATCTTTCACCAAAGACTATATTACCTTACTGTTTTAAATTAATTACAAAATTAATCTGTAATACATTTATAAAACATTACAATCTGTAAATTTGCAAATAATATATTGAATATTGAATGACAGATAAAGGTTGGACTGACGTGTGACGCTTTTTCTACTCTGTCGCTTTTCTACGCTGTCACTGTCAAGTCAAAAATTAAACAGAAAGTGTAAACTGTAAGTCATTGTTGAATTTGCAGAAGTTACAGTTGTTTTAAAAAGAAAATGTTTAATTCTGCTGCACCTCCTTTGTGGCATAATGGCCCGGTACCCGGAAACTTTTATAATTTTCCCGGCTCGCAGACCAGCTATTCAAACCCTATAACACATACACAGTAAGTTAACCTAACATCATCGATGATTTGCACTATTATAGGTAAAATTTTTAGGTCTCCCGTTACAACATCAACTTCTGTATTAGCTATTACTTACGATAAAGGAGTACTGATGGCCGGAGATCTGGTTGCTTCATATGGATCTTTAGCTAGGTACAGAAATTGTCCGAGGGTTATTAAAGTCAATCAGAATATCATCTTGGGAGCCGGTGGAGACTATGCTGATTTTCAATATGTGAAGAGTTTTATTGAGCAAAAAATGTAAGTATGACTCTGCTACTCATACAGAAATTTAGGGATTATATGTACAAGTTTTGATTATATGTATTTTTAGAATTGATGAAGAATGCATTGATGATGGACTAAAAATGAAACCAAAATCGTTGTACTGTTGGCTTACCAGAGTAATGTACCAACGGAGGAGTAAATTAGACCCATTTTGGAATAATTTGGTTATAGGAGGAATCCAGGTAAATTATAATATTCATTATGAAACTAGAAATGATTTAAAATGTTCGTAAAATAGTTTTCGAAACACAATTCAGATTTCTGCTTTATAATCTGAGCCTTCTAAGAATTGCAAGGCAAACAGACGTTGATAAAAGATGTTAAAAGAAAAAAATTCTTAGAAGGCTCAGATTATAAAGCAGAAATCTGAATTGTGTTTCGAAAACTATTTTACGATTGTTTAATTAGATGTCGCTACTGCGTCCGTATCGAAGCCATGTTATTGTTGCTTCTTAAAAGGCAGAAAATATTGATTTTTCACGTTGAGAAACCTCATGAATAGCTCTTCTGACGAGACCTATTAGGTCGAAATACGTATCAAGAGATACATGGGATTTGTTTGCGTGAAATCAAATATTTGCTGCCTTTTCTCATTTGATTTAAAATGTCCTTAACAAATTATAGCACCACCTGAACCCTTTCGGTCACGCTTTTTTTACTGTAATGGAATATATTTTGTTAATAAGCCCAAATTATTCCCAGTTATGGTATTCTTAATGTCTCTTGGGTCTTTTGGTAGGCATATTAGCATTTTTTTATTAAAATAGGGCTTGTTTTTGATTTTGTCAACTGACGAAATTGTGACTAACTGTAATATTTACTTAAACGAAGTTAAAATTCTTGTGTCGTCAGTTGATGACAAAGTGACTGAAAGGGTTAATGGGTAGTGAGAGGGAGCAGTATCTGGGTAACAAGATTTGTTTCCTGGAAACAGGAGTTGTTCAGATTTTATGCAAAATTTATAATTTAAACAAGTTTTTATTATAAATAATTTTATCTCGTGTATTCATTTTTTGAATCAAATAATGAACTTTTTTAGGATGGAGTCCCATTTCTAGGAACTGTAGATAAATTAGGAACTGCATATACCGACAAAGTTATATGTACAGGTTATGGAGCGCACATAGCCTTGCCCCTTCTTAGAGACTCTTTAGACAAAAATGGGGCTCTTAACTTAGCTGATGCCAAGACTCTCATACACAAATGCATGGAAGTGTTGTTCTATAGAGATGCTAGAAGTTTTCCTAAATATCAGCTTGGTATTATTGATAAAGATGATGGTGTCAGCATTGAGGGCCTATTTCAGTTGAAGAGAACTGGAATATTGCTCATATGACATAATTTTTCTTAATTTTGATTATTTTGTATTGAAACTATATTATACATTCATGGAAGTCTGTGTTTAATAATAAACTTTTTGATAAAACTATAAAATATTTTATTACCCTCAGTATTAGGTATTCCGGAATGTATTTAATGACATTTACCAAGTATAGAGACATTAAAAGGTATATTTAGAATATAATTTATATTCTAAAAATAATATACACCTGGATTTTTTACATAAGGACTGAAATAATAACTGGTAACTATTTTTTTTATATTTTGTAAAGATTTCTATATTACTGAAGTCTCTTTTGGAAAACTGATATTTATTCCAAAGCCACAATCATGCTGGTACAAAATACACAAAAATCTTAAGGGTTCAAGTCAGAGGAGTCCACAAGTCCCTTTATCTACAATCTATCTGATCATTATGAGTAGCCAAAAATAGCCATTGCTGAAAAACTGGTTACTACAAGCTCTTTCACTTCTTTATTTTGTAGCTTCCCTCATATTTTCTTCAGCATCTTTATTTTCTTAGAAAAAAGAATTGGAAGATACTTTAGATGGTATGGGCATGTCCCACAATAGCAAAATAGCGTGGAATATCATCAAGAAACTAAGCACACATCAAATAGTACAAAATGTGTAAGTAATTTAACTGCATACCAAATTCTATTAATAAATGGTAAAACTGAAGGCATAGTAAAATTTAAAAATAGGTAAATAACTTAACTTTCAAAACGAATTTAACTGTAGTACCTATGTCTTATGTACTCACATAACTATAGTGTCAAGTAAAAGTAATAGTTCTATTTAAGTCAGGAAAAGGTCCCAAAATACTAAACAATTACTGATCAATATGTGTGGTGTCACTTAGTTAAATTATATCAAAGTATGATGCTACAGTGTATCTAGAAAGCAGTTGAATTTTGATCTTATTGCTGAACAGTAAACCATTTACTGGACAAGTATTGAACCTCACAGAGTTTAGAAAGTTTTGAAAAGATACTGATAATGGAAAGGGCACTAATTGATCTAAAATCTGCCCACTACACTATGTACGAAACTGAGTGAAGGTCATAGAGTTGCTGCTACAGAACAGAAAATTCTACATCATACTGCTAGAAGGAAAGGGAATGAAAAGTATCTATGGCCTGCTTCAGGAATGTCTTAAAAACACATGTAAGCGATTTTCAAGTAAAATAAAAACACTGCAAGAAGTTATATGGGAGAAAAAGGCCTTGAAATATACTAACAAGCTTAAATATCTAGCAGTAACTTTGGACAAATTCTTACCATTTATATATCATAGTGAATACAAATTAAAAAGTCACATTTAGAAACACTTTACTAAGAAAATTGGCTGAAAGTAACTGTATGAGTGATTAATGTGTTTTTCCAATAAAGAGTAGGTCTGCCTTATCTGGAACCCATCGGTTCACACAAACCAATTACCCAAAGAATGTAGAAAACTGTTCGCTGAAGACTGAATGTAGAAAAAATGAAAAACAAATTGGCCCAAATCGCACCTCTTCCTCTTCACCTCTACCTTCTGGGATAAGGATAACCTTATCTAGAAACCTTCCGCATCTACGAAACCAATAACCCTTTCATGTCTATCCTCCACCTGAGTAAAAAGTTCCCGTATTAAACGGAGTTTCTTCTCCTCAGATAGGGGGTAGGGTGTCTTTTTCCCTTTTAATTCTGTACAAACGATATTGAAGCCTTGCCCCCAGATATTCCTTTTAAGATCCTGAAGCAGGTTACTCCACCTTTCTTTCTCAGATCTTATCTCATTCCTGTAGTCATTCTGCATTCGCTTTAATTCATTTATTCTCTCTTCCAAATCTCCTGTTTGTACTCTTCTTAACCTCTTACACTCCCATTTTACTCTCATGCAATTTATCCTCACAAAGTCCTCATCTTTCTATATTGGTCGAGTGTTTATGGTTAAATAACTAAAATATAAATAATTATAAATAAAATCGTTTTTACTAACAATCGATGTATTTAAAGAATAAGTAAACGGCGTATTTGATTTGCCTCTCGCACAATTAGTATATCATGTTACATCTATGCATCACCCTCCCCAATTTCTTATTGAAGTAGATATAGTAGTAATTTTGGCGAATGTTTTATAGATTACCTTTTTTCTGTCTGATTGCTTGATTTACGGAAAAATTCTGGAGTTTTTGACATTGGTATGATCATCTATTTTAAGTAGTGATATAACTAGCACTGTTTGCGATGTTTAAGGTATTTTAGATTATAAAAAAACATTGATGTATCACTCTTAAGTGTAAAAAGGGACTCAGACTTTAGTTTATTTTGTCTACCCCTGTTGCTTCTCTATTCTGTTAAACGTATCTATCGAACTGAAATTCTTAATTTATGAAAAGGAAAGAAAACTATGATTTGTCACCGATTTTTTATTATGCACAAACTATATAAAAAAAGCAATAAAAAATATAAATACAATATTTTACAAGACTAATGCGCTGGACCATACACTGGCGATATGTTGTTTACACTAGAAGTACTGGAACTACCGCTAGGATCAAAACCTTGATTGTTTGTCCCCCTTCTGTTATCTTCTATAGAAGGCAAACCGTTGCTAGGCACTCCAATTCCATTGACATTACCACCATCCTTGTTGGTCTTGTATTTGATAAAGAAAACTTCTGGTTTGGACGCTAGAGTAGGAGCAGGCGTCTTCAAATCAATGACAGCATCTTCCGGTTTCTTCACCAATACGTAAACTAACGTTTTCTCTTGTTTAGCACCCAATGGTACAACGTGAGTCCTAGATGATGATTGGGAAGGAGCCTTGATGAAGATAATTTTGTGGTTTACTGGTGCAGCTGGAATATAGAGTTGTTTAGTTGCTTCTTCTGGATCTGGGGGAGCAACGTACACATATACATGTTTCTGTTCTGGTACAGGTCCAAATGATGGTGGAGAGTTTGAGTCACCAGAAAATCGGACGTTGTTATTGGTAAATGATGTAGATGTACGGGAATCACCTGGGAAGATGTTATTGGTATGCCGAGATGATCCAGATAGGCTAGGACTACCGTAATTAGAGCTGGGTACATTATTAAAGTTAAGAGAACCGCCGTTAAATCCATTGTTGCTAAAACCTAAGTTAGATGAGGCTGAAGGGATAAGAGATCCGGAGAGACTAGGACTGCCGTAGTTATAACTTGGAATATTACTTAAGAAAGATCCAGAGCTTTGAGAACCTGAGGATAGTAAACTGCCTCCATTGTTGGTTAGTCCGAAGTTCTCGTTGGATGAACCAGAAAACTGAGATCCGCTATTTGGGATAGGGTAATTGTATCCACCGTTCAATCCAGAATTAACATTGACATTTGTCGAAGAACCAGGTAAAATTGAACCAGAATGATGTGATCCACTGGGTCCGTCGTTAAATCCTGAATTGAAGTTTACATTTCTTGAAGCAGACGGTAGAAGGAGTCCGGAATTTGGAGGTTGATAGTTATAACCACCATTACCTCCTGAATTGATATTAAGAGAATTTGACGACGATGAACCTAAATTGGAGTCAAAACCACCATTTGGATAGTTGTATCCCTGATTTGAGCCAGAGTTTACAAGAACGTTTAACGCCGGTACTACTGATACTGAAGTGTGAGAAGAGCGTAAGTCTGGACCATTATTTACCAACGAGAATGAATTCGACTGCGATGAAGTGTGGTCCAATGGGTTGGATGGTCGTTGGTAGTTGTAGGGTTCCTGAGAGTAAGATTGTGATACCGCCAATAACACCACCTGAAATTAAACTTAAATAAAGTAAATGAAGACATTTGAGGCACCAAATATTAAAAAAAAGTGGATCCGCAGGTGGTACTGTAATATATTATTAAAATAAAGTAATTTTATTATTTATTTATTTTTTATATTTAAAACAAATTCAATAAATTATTATGGTCACTCCTAACGGCACCTATTAACGAAGTAACAAAGCATATATGACAATATACTTATGACAAACCTGTCAAATTCCGACCAAATATTAATAATAAAATATAAATAAATATTATTTGATAATAAATTTAATTATTATATAAACGCAATAATATGTTTAAAAATTATAATTGTATTTATACGAAACTATTTCAAAACGAGAATTATTATAAAGACTTAAACAGACGATTCAATGGTGTTATTACCCCTCTGTGGCTCAATGGTAAGAGCGCCTACCTTTTAACCTAAAGGTCGTGAGTTCGAATCTCACCTAGGTGGAGAAATTTTCGTTTATTAAAAATTAATAAATGAAAATAATTTCTATCCTTGTGCGATCGGTACTCACCGGAGGGACCGCAGTTTAGAAGTCTAGAAAGAAGTCTTTAGGATCTAGAAAGAATCGATTCTTTTAGTAACAAATATTCTTTCAATTTTTTATTTCTCACTTAATGTCTATATTATCTAGAAACAAATTGATCAGGAGTAGTGAATTGAAACTAAAGTTTATGCTAAAAGACACTCAATCCAACGTTGGGAAAAATCAGAAAATAAAATAACGAAATATGAATCAAAAAATAGTTTTTGAGAATAACGACACTGAATTAAAAATGAAAATGATATTAATACAACTAATAAGAAGGTTCAAGAAGACACCAATGGAAAGAAAATAATAAAAACTAAACAAAATCCTAAACTAAAAGAAGGCAAAAAAGAACGTTACAGGAAAAACTAAAAGAAAGGAAAAAATTGAAAACTAAACAAAGTTCAAAACACAAAGTCCAGAGAAGAAAAATAGAAAAGGCAAAAAGATTAAAAAATATTATTGATACTGAAACCGAGAGTGAAGAAAATGATATTTCGTACGCTGATAGGTCCAATACAAGTCATTTTGGGGAAAATCCAGACGTGAATGATCGTTGTTATTGTTTTGTTTGCCAATAAGAGGAAATTATGACCGTGCGGATGCTCCTGTGCCTTTTATGCCACATATATGTCCATGCGATGTGTATAGATGATTTTTACTTACACAAGACATTGATGATTGTATTTGTTATGAATGTAACCAGAACTGTTACTAGTCGATGAAAGATTAGTGTAAGTTTATAATTGTAAGATTAGAAAA